TTGCTTAAATAGCGCTATCTACTGCGAGGATCGTGCATCATACGTATCTAATACCGCAGTTCAAAATATATGAACTTCATATATCCATTGTAACCAAATATTATCAATAGCTCTGAAAATATGCGCGAATCACTTGCAACCAGCTTGTAATCGTTTCTGGATGGGTAAAATACATGGAGAAGGATCATATGAAGGCCAATATCGACTGAGTTAGATAGGGCTGGACGGGAAAATATGTGGTTCAAGGCTGTGACCCACAAACTGACCTTAGTGAGCTCTGTACGTCATGACCGCCAGCCAAATATTTTTACGTCCAACTCTCTCCATGGCCACCTCAGTCAGTAGGTGTTAACCATTACGATGTATGTCGCGGAACATTGTGTAACAACTGAGTTCGTGTTCATTTATCCATTCGCTATCAGCTTGTCCAATATCATTAAGAGACAATCGTTATACGCCAAGCGGTTTGATTATGAAAGCAACATCCGAACTGGACAAGAAACACACCGCCATAGATGGATGGCTCACTGAGCTTGCTTCCCTTAGATCACTCCAAACACCTAACAGGTAGAGAATCATTTGATAGATAACTGGTTCCTTGAAAACTGATTTGGCTTTCTTTCAACCTAATCTTAACCCTAAGCGTTAATTTCCAAATCAAAGAACACTGCTAAACGCTTTGAAATCTGAATGTAGATTTCAAGATAAGAAAGTAATTTGTCACTCTAGATCACTTGAAACGCTTTCTTAATTACATCCCTTTCCTTTTTTTTCTTTCTCATATAAGGCTCGTTAAACAGGATAGATCTAAATTTTTCATTATTCTTAACGGTACAGCCTACTGTCCACAGTAATCTGGACAGAGAGGGAGCTTTCCGAAAAAGTTGACGTCCTTGGAGACCGTGATTTTTGGTGAAGCACTCGCTCAGTAACTTCCTTGTTGCTGTTAGCCTGGATTTTTTATGGGCTTTCGGCTGTGACCAAGGCTCCTCGTTTTGCGGAATATATAACTGAACATGTGCATGCCCAAATATGCAGTGAACGGCCAGTGAAGATTTAAGTGCCAATGGGACCAGCTGTACTAACATAACGGTCAAACGAGTATGCGCAAGTGGATTAACTTTAGCCAACCGCGCTTAATGGGATTTATACCGTAACTTACTGGCCTGGTAGGCTTTTCATAACTCTGAGGAGAAACCTTGGTTCTGACAGCCTGAAGGGACGCCTCCCGAATATTACAAAGTTTGAACATACGCAGATATTGCCCGCTGTTTTGGGTGGGTAAGCCCTTTACGCAATAAGTTACCGATTGTTATTGCTTGATCGACAGTTCCTGGTGTGCCGCACCAAGTTTTGATCTGAGAGCACAATATCTACAAATGGATTTCGGTACAGATTACTTCATATCAGCGATTTCTACCCAAGGAGCAGTTACAGAAAAGAGTTGGGTCAGCAGTTATCTTGTCCATTACTACACCTACCACAACCCTCCTTTTAGGCCAGTCACTGATAAAAATGGACAGATCAAGGTAGTTCTCGTGAAAAATATTTTATTAAACTAGTTAAAGTCAATCATGGACATCTGCTTCTATCTTGGTTTGAGAGCAGGTAGGCGTTAAGACGCGTGGTCAACATTATTTTGTCCTGTTCAGTCGGAAATAGAGGAAGTATCGCCATATGAATGTTTTATTAACACTATGTAACACCATGTAACATTGATAAACATAATATTGGTAAATTGATTTATTTTCCATCTCTCTCTAACAAAACTAATGATAACTCCCTGAAGGTAAAATCTTTAAGATATTTCTTGCTGGGTGAGGGTTAGGGTTACCAGAGGGATTCAAAGCTGGAGAAAAAGCCATTTATTTGCACTTAAGATCATTAGTTTCCACCGGCTCCCAGCTGATGCTCTTTTTCAGGAGTTTAAAGGAAATACGGACCAGTCCTCTCTCGTCCAGCACTGGCTGATGCCTCATATATTTGGAACAATGGTTCGTTTCTATCCTACCTCGTATGTTGGTCGGCTGTGCATGAGTGTCGAGGTTCATGGATGTCACTTTACGGACTTAGCATGGAACTTCATGACCCACGAGCGATACCAGCAAGAATGTAAGATTTACTATAACTTTGAAGTTAAAAGTGTATTAGTGAAAAACTGTCAATGTTTCCCCCCGCCCC